ACACACACACACACACACACACACACACACACACACACACACACACAAACAAACACACACACACACACACACACACACATACACAAACACACATTAACAATTCAGCTCTTATAAATATCAATTCTCGTTTGCACTGAAATATAGACAGGCCAACTACCGAATATTCTGTATTTATTGTAATAAAGATAATATCTCTAACAATGCCGTCTTGTTCTATTCGGTGGTGTGGGAAAAACAGCAAAACATCTAATTACAAAACAAACGGAATCACAATTCATCGGTAATTAAATATGTAATTTTGCAATTTTCGTCCATTATAGCAAGTTACAGTAATAATATGGCAGAATAGTTTTCAAACAAATTAAATGACATTTCGTCTCTATTTCTGGTTATATACTCGATGGTAAAAATTAAACACTAAATTGAGTATAAGTTAAAAATGTTAAATATGCATTTATAGCTATGGAAGAGCGGTGCCTCCTGACACAGGCTTGATAAGCTTAAAATGAGGTACCATCCACTGTTAATGTAATGTTAATGGTATAACTGAAATAAACATTTTTTTCATTTATTTTTTATTCAACGATAAAAAGTCCACCATGGATAGTTGTCCAACAATAAATAAAACGTTACGACATAATGGAAACGCGCCCTTGGTTTGACCTACCGCCTCTAAAGCAGAAGGCTGTGGGTTCGAATCTGGGCTTGCACGTCTGAGTTTTTTGGAATTCATATGCGACATTTAATTTGAAGTTCTCGGTGAAAGAAAACCTTGTGAGAAAACCTGCTTACATCTGCAAAATCATTTAAAGATGTGTGTATAGTTCCATGTTCCCATTGAGCCTGCATGGCAACTACAGCTCAAGCCCTCTTCAACGTATATTTACAATTGTGAATCCTACTAAAACTAAGTAAATTTTGTTCCAGAATGTGCGATAAAACTCCGTGGAACGCGCGCCGGACGCGTGCACTCCGGCCACGTACCGCGCAACCATGGTTGTCGACTGCTACTACCCCCACCCTCATCCAAAAACGCCCTCCTCGTCGACCTTCACAAGCTCAACGTCCCCTGCGCCACCGGCTTCATCAGATACGCCCCGAACACTCCCGCTCTCTGCGGCAAACTCGAGCAAATTCCTCTGCCAAACAGAAGGTATCTTTACCAAGCATCCCAAAAAACACCAACGATAGAACTCCACGGCCGACCCACGTTCGCCGCGACCTACCGTCTCGTGGACCACTGCCACCACGTTCTGCTGACGGATAGAAACGGCTCGTTCGAAGTCGGCCCAACATTCAAACTCTTCTGCTCATACGAAATTCACCTCCCTTACGGCAACAAGGTGAAATTACGATTACAAATTGGAGCGGGACCAATGGAGCTGAAACAGAAAGAAGTATCGAATGTTATTGACGAAAATGATAACGAATTTTGTGAAGGGATGGAGCTTAAGCTTCAAAATGGGAAGTCCAGATGGGAATATTGCTCGCAGCCTGGAGATCCGAAGAGGGATCTCCAATTTATCTCTGAGACCAATTCTGTAAGGTTGAATGTGAGTGTGATGGGGATGAAAAACTCTTCTGTAATGTGGTTGAAAGCGTGGTGGATGGAGGATCCCCAGGAAGATATTATGGGACATTGTGACTACGGGTGGGTGTTGGCGGAGAATTTTTGCATATCGGTTTTTCGGGACGCGAAGAAGGCATGGAAACAGGCCGAGGCAGAGTGCGTGAGGCTCGGAGGTCATCTCGTTAGCGTCCTAAACGAGAAACAGCAACGAATTGTCGATCAGCTGTTATTACATGCGTGAGTATTCCTATATTTGTTTTTGAATGGTAAACATCTTAAACCATTTCGATGACCTCGGTAAAACCAATTTTACGAATTGGCGCAGGTCTGGGGCGTGCTGAGCTCGGAGTGAATATCGTAACTCTGACACTCTTTGTATTACAATTGTGGTAAGGTCGGTGCCCTCATTTAGGTATCCACTATTTGTACTAAGTGCTTAAATGAGGGAACCGACAGTACAGTTCCCTAACGTGAGACCAGGATTTGATGTGGTAGTACTTTGTTACTGCCGTCCACTAACTGAAACGCGGCTAGTGCCGAATGTTCAAATATACGTTTTATTACGAAAAAAATAGAACACAAAATTCTCCTTTATAAACAGTTAAAATTAGTTAAAGTGTTCGACTTATCGCAACCTTTTTTTTTATTACCCGAGATACCTTACAGATACCCCGGCCCTGCGGGGGCCGAGCCGGGGTTATGTGGGACTGGGCTGCACCCTGAAGGGGAGCAACCCGACTCCACCAGCGGCTAGCCCCTCTCCGAGAAGGGAGACGCAACGGTCCCCCGACTCCAAATGTAAGGCTCGCCGAACACCAGACGAGCCTTCCAACTCGGACCCCTCCATGCTGGGCAGCGAACTCTCCCGAGTCCGCTACCCAAGGGCCATAGGGCCAGGACAACATCCCCTCAACTGTGAACTTCAGAGGATGCTCCCCAGCTCCCGCGGCGGATCTCTTGATAGGCTCCGCCGCAACATCCTACGCGCATCCACGTGGACTCTTCTTAGAGAGTCCTTTGGAGCGCCCACCGCACAAATTCTGCCGCGGAGAAAAGGACGAACAGCAACGACACACCGACACGTCTCTTCTCCGAGACCCTCCTCACCGCATGCGTCCGCGCGGACCCGCTCGGCCTCGATTAAGACGACTCCACGCGGTACGCTCTCCTCCTCGAGCCAGACTAGCTCCACCGGCCGGCCCGTGAGTTCCTCTCAGTTTCACCGCGGGATGAAATCGACCACGGCTACTAGAGCCCCTCCGCTACGACAAGGCGGAAACCCATTCGGGGGGGCGACTTATCGGAACCTACCCTAACTTAACATAGCTAAAGTATCATTAAACAATTTCAATATGCTAAAACTGGGTTATGGTTTTTTATGATATCTCAAAAAAATATTTTATCGCCTAGCCGCGTTTTAGACAGTGGACGGCAGATTGTCATTACAACAAAGAATATTAATTTACCGCACTCATCGCTTTTGCCAGTTTCTTTTATTGCTTGTAATTGTCGGTAAACTGACCGTCCGGTTAAAATTTGTTATTGAGTTAAGTTTCTTTACAAGCTAACAAATAAAAGTTCCTTCCAAAAACAAATCTATTTAAGACTGTGTAATTACTTTCCAATAAACGACAAAAAACTTTGTTAAGAATTTCATTATGTTTTTGCAGTTTTTAAAGTAATTTGAGCTATATTAAACGAGAGCAGCTCGCGATGATAGAGCTAATTTTAAATACAAATGAATACTCCAAGGAGGGAGGACTCGTTTGTCTTAATTTTAATATCCTCTTTTTCGTAATTAATGTTTCCTACTCAATTGTGAAGTGCGTCACAAAAATGGTCATTATTCGAATGACTCACTTTAAATAATTTAAAAATAATGCGTGAGTGAGACACATTAATTGTAAGAGAAAAGAGAAAGCATTAATAGTACGATAATATCGCATCCGTAGTATTAAACTAACTTAATTTTTAAAAAAAGTAACATTTGTTCTGAAAGTGACTAAATAAGTTTTAGGAAATTACACATTTATTTATTTATTTAAAGGAAGATCAACAGCTTAAAACTAAATTAATTAGTAATAATAACAACTGAGTGCCAATTAAAAATCCTCGCAAATAAAAATATAATAAGAAATCTGGGTGCACAATTTACTTATTTTATTTTACTTTTTTTAATATATTGTTTTATTTCATTCGTAGCAGAAGGAATGAATAGCATCGAGATAAACCTAAGTAGAGTTTATCGGTGCTTTACTATATTTATGTTTCACATGTCTTAAAACAATAAAATAAAATAAAAAATAAACACCTAACTTGTTATATAAAACATAAAAAAGTTGCAATCCTCACTAAGAGTCAAAGAAGTTCTCACTCAGCGCTCTCATTGCCAAAATCACATTCGTATTGAAAAGATCCAAATCAAAAATATTATATAAAATTAGTTGAGTAGTTAGTTATGCTTAGTTGGTATAGCGTCTGGCGCGGTAAGCTAGAAGACGTCGGTTCGAATCCGGCCGGATCAAAAGAATTTTTTTCTGAGTGTTCGATCTTTGTGTTAATAATTATAACAAACTAGTGGAGTAATTTCATATAAAAAAAATTATTGAATATCAATTCAATAGAAATTTAAAATACAGTGAATAGCGACATCTCTCGCCAGGACTGGTAGCTGTAAAGGTACTAACTGGGTGATAAACCGTTTATAGATTTCTAAAAAGTCGTTGAAAGACCAAATACAAAGACACGACGCAAGCACATAGAAAAATTCGTGAGGTTCGTTGGTTCGTTCCGTGGCTTAGTTGGTATAGCGTCTGGCACGGTATGCAAGAAGACGTCGGTTCGAATCCGACCGGATCGAGGGAATTTTTTCTGAGTGTTCGATCTTTGTATTAACAATTATAACAAACTAGTGGAGTAATTTCACAAAAAATAATTGAATATCAATTCAATAAAAATTTAATTAATACAGTGAATAGCGCCATCTCTCGCCAGGACTGGTAGCTGTAAAGGTACTAACTGGGTGATAAATCTGTCAAAGATTTCTCATAGATGGCGCTACGACTAAAAAGTCGTTGAAAAACCAAATACAAAGACACGACGCAAGCACATAGAAAAATTCGTGAGGTCCGTTGGTTCGTTCCGTGGCTTAGTTGGTATAGCGTTTGACACGGTATGCAAGAAGACGTCGGTTCGAATCCGACCGGATTGAAGGATTTTTTTCTGAGTGTTCGATCTTTGTATTAATAATTAATCTTTTAGGCCTTGGGAGAGGCGAGAATCTAAAATAGATAATACGGAACGGTAATGGAAGGCACAAAACGGCACAAGTTAACAGCGGACCCCGCACTAGCACAATGCTTGCATCGCGAGACGCAAAATGCTAGACAACTTATTTTCACTATTACAAGAGCCAATTAGTGCAAACACACATTAGTTACAGAATGAAATTAAATTTGAAACGTTATTAAGTTATTCTAACATTATTTAAAAAACATTATTAAATTGTTATAACAACATTATCACATTATTAAATTATTTAAAAATTATAAAAATATTTAATTATGAAAAATACTACTGAATTATTAAAACCTTACTTTCGTGTTGAACGTGGCGAAACCTTCGTGGATTGACCTATCCAATCTTTCTTATCAATTAATTCAACCAGCGGTGAAATAATGTCGCCAGTTGTTTGCAAGTAATTCGTCTATCAACTTTTCTCAGTAATTAGTTAGAAAGTACAAAAGTTGGATCAAATTAAAATGGTTTTTAAATGTCACGCGGCAAATTCACAGAGAGCGGCCGCGCTTACATTTTAACTTTCCAAGTAACTTACACAAATAGCCCATCTTGTCAATACAATCTCATCTATACTGCATTGACTATCAACTTCCCTCCTTATTTTCATATGGCAACCCTGCCCATGACTATCATGTCATGGACCATATAAGATGGCTTTTTTATCGCGTATATCTAAATAGCCTTAAATTTAACCCCGAAAGTTAATAGTAACGTTTATTTACTTCTTTTCCATAACATATTTCTTTTCAAAATAGGAGTGTTATAAATTCCAGTGACTAATCATCAAACAAAGATAATATTATAAAAATGCTGCTTGGTTTAACATCATTAAAGTGAGTACGTTCCCTACAACGTTGTCATTTAAGAGGGAGCAGAGGAAAAATTTCTAATCTTCAATTTGATTTTAGAGGGGTATATCCAATTTAAAGTTAAAAATAAAATATTGTATGAGTAACTACATGACACTAATCAGAAACATAAAAAATAAAGTTTCCTCGATAGATAAAAATCACGAAATGACCTCTAATTTTACATTTTTTCGGTTCATCCTCGAAATGCTACAGGTCATTAGGACAAAAATTAGATAATTATTTATATTTATGCATGATCGAGAACTGTCACTACGGATTTTTTTTTATCCCTTTAGTTTTAGAGTTATTCCGCTAAAACGAATTTGGTACTTTTAATGCGCAAAATTCAACATCTCCTGTCGCATGTCACGCGAACTTCAGGCATATATTTGTTTCACAAATTTGGGCGGAGCCAACGTCAAAACTTTTTTGGCATGCTCCCTCTTAACCTAATTTGGTAGGAATATCTTGGACTCCATCTCTATGTACCTATTGTCGTGTGACTATTTAAATGTGACTTTGATTGTTTCTAGCCCCGGCGCAGGAGTGGACGACGTCTACTGGATCGGCGCAACGGACGCCGTCCACGAAGGCGAGTTCCGCTGGTCCGATGGATTGCCCTTTTCTTATGCACGTGAGTACTTTAGTTTGTTTTATACTCTTTGGGATTTATAACACCGAGCTAGACAGCAACGAATTAAATATTGGTGAAACTTGAGAAAGCTCATGGATAACACAAATTACGTGAAGCCAGAACTAAGCAGTGGATGCAGTTGATCGCGGATGGTGGTAATTTAGCTGTGCAACGGAAGTGTTATAACCATTGACTTACAATTATATGGACATCAGGTACGCGCTAAAAAGTGTCCGAACTTATAGGGCGTTAAAATCGTATACAGAGCGTCATTCACGCTTTAGTCTTCGTTTGTTCGACTGACAGCGAAGCAAGCAAAATTAGACAGTACTGCGATGACATGTCATGTCAGTGTGATACATGTCACTACGTTTAAATAGGATGACTTGGGACATTTTTTTCGTGGTTTTTCTATTAGACCCGTCGTCCGTTTATTCATATTCATATATTTATTGTCACATGTACGTATTTGTAAGTCAATGTTTATAACGGAAATGGTGAGATATCAAAAGTAAATTTTATAATAATTATAAAATATAATACTACAATAATACGAAATAGTCCCATAAAGGGCTTGTGTTTGGTTTCATAATTGCATTTAAGAGTCGCTATAACCTCAAATGGCTGATTCCGCATAAGGGTGAGTGCTGTATTAACCACTTCAGGAAAAAAATATATAATAAAATTGAGGATGTACTCTGATTAGTATTAGAAGATGTGGAAACACGATTCTCTAAAATTTTCACGATTGATCAAAACACAAGCTTATAAAAACTTTTACAAGAAAACTGTTGTTTTATATCAACTGAACTAAACAAACACGTATAGTATATGATATACATTTATCAAATGACTTCAACTTCGTTTGTGAAAAATTAAATTCTGAAATAAGGCCAGAGTCTCTGCCGCGCGACTCGCGCAATAGAACCGATTCAGTACGGTAAAAAATTGAATTCGAGCTGAAGTAGCCCAGACCAGAACCAATTTAGAATAGTTCATTTCCTAATTTGGTCCTACCGGAAGTCGAATCCCGGACATCGTCATCTAGCACCCACAGTATAAAACGATGAACCACCGAGGTCGTCAAGTGAATGATTTTGTTTCAATGATGTCAAGAGACGGGACGAACAATTGCCGCCATTTGAATTACGAGCATCGTAGCGACATCTCTTTAAAAATGTTTAAACTAATTTGTTTATCTATTATATCAACTGGGAGATTATAGTGCTAAATTATTTAGATTATAAGTTAAGGCTTCAAGTTCTTCTTCCCCCGGTGTTTCTCTTACCCCACCTGACTCTAATAATAACTTTTCACAACTAAACTTTTGTAACTTTGTTTCCATAGACGATACAAACATTAATTTCAATAATTTTGATTTTCGTCGAGAGCCGAATCCCTCCTCGTTACTAAATCACGAAGCTTTAGCCAAAACCTACGCGCCCTACCGCCAAACAATAATAGCACAATAAAAGTAACGGTATAAAAGTTGCGGCAGCAGATGGGAAAAAGTGTGCAGAACTTCCGCAGTTGCAAAAGCGAAAGCACGAGGTCTGTTGCATTACTAATAATGATGATGATTATCTTTAGTATTTATTTAAATAATAATGTAAAATAAAAATAAAAAAAATTAAAATGAGTAATTGATTAGTTTTTTTCTTAGTGCTTATCGACTCGGTTTTATATAAGATCATTTCATTATATTTAAAAAAAATCAGGACAGCGGAAGTTGATCAAATTTTATAAAATGTTTCTCATACATAACGAATAAAATTGACAATTTATTTTTATAATGCTTCTGCTCCCAAGATTTTTTTTCTAATAGAATGATTTCATCAGACATTTACATGAAACTGAGTCAATCAACACTAAAAGAAATAATCAATTTTACTCTTTTTCATGGACAAATCACACTTGACCCAAAAAATTTACTATGTCAAAATTGTTTTGTTGGTGTTCGTGGCACCGTCAATGTTTCCGATTTCAATAACACAGTGCTTTAGTTACTTACTTCGGGATCGAAGCAATGTATGCGATGTTGTCTAATTAATATATTTTATGGAAGCACGGACGAAGCTTTCTTGGTACCCAATCAAATTGCATAATCCACGAACGATATCCCTAAATCGACTTTACATGAAATTTGAGACCAGCATAAAAACGATTGTAATACACACGGGTCATAACGAAGTCTGAATTTTCAATTTCGATCTGTGATCTGAGATAATTGAACTCAACGGTCGCTTTACAGCATAAAATGTACTCAGGATTCCAAGGCTTTTGAAAGACAATTAAAAACTCTCTTAATTGATAGGAGTTATTACAATATAACAGAATACTTTAATGATATTTTTGATGACCTTTTTTAAATGATTTAATATGAAATAATAATAGAAAATTATAATAGTATGTTTCTGTGTATAAATGTATGTAGGTAAAATTATTTCAGTTAGTATTTAGTTTTAAAATTATATCAATTAGTATAGAGTTGAAACATAATGTGTAAATTATATAGTCTTACTAGACATTTTGTATGCGTGGTATCAATTAGGAAATAGTACTGTGTAATAATTTTTATCTTATTTTAAAATGTGTATAGCGCCACTCTCTTTGCAAACACCCTTACAGGGTGTCACATGTACTGTAATTTTAATATTATTAACATGTGACTATGCAATAAACGGTTACTGATTACTGATTACTGGTTTATATTAACTCTATGGGAAATATATCGTGAATCGACATTCTGCCTAGTAACACACATATCAAATGTGTATCTATCTTTATCCAAAGGTAATCCGGATGATAAATTAATAAAACAAAATTGTTATCTTGTGTAATATATTTGTTAATTTCACAATATTATGCAATGATACAGGTTTACAGGAGGCAACAAAAAGATGAAATAACATTTCGGTACTCCATGACAATAAAATAATAATTTCAAATTTACTAGTCATGCGCCTGGTATTAGTCAACACGCAACAGTGCCACTCAGAGTTTTAAATTGCAAAGATCTGAGTGACACTGCCTCTACGCCTGTCACTAATGATAAGTTGATAAGTCTCATCGGCCTGTAATTTCATCAGCACCCTTACCCTTTAAAAGCGAAACGCTGTAATGTGAGCATTACTGCTTGACGACAGAAATAGATAAGGCGGCAGTACCCTGGACGAATTTTTCCAGAAGGAACTCCACTGCTACCATAGGTGTGTCGCTTACCACCAGGTGCACGATTTGTTCAACCCGCTTGATACCATAATAAAAAATAGATCTCAAAAATATTTTCAATGTGTATCGATCGCGAAAACTCAAGAACTCGATAATATTAGTTTTTCATTTTATTGTAAAACCTTTTCGTTTTACCCTGTATTTTATTTGCGCAATGAATGTTGGCCAACTTGAGCTGCATAAATTATTTTCACTGTGCTTTCCGTAGAAAGAGGAAACGCGTTAGATCTCGACAGAGCAATATTTATAAAGCAATAGACAAATACATGGCATACTCTCGGGAAACGTGGTAAAATATTTGATAACCTGCAACTCCCTAGTTTCATAAAGAAACAACTATAATAATAACAATAACGCACACACTCAACATAGCCCCAACTACGGAAACCCTGTGTCGCGGGTGCCATAGACACACACATAGACAACCACAAATGACACCCATACTCACCAGAGAAATAAGTGTAGGCCATACAAATATTTCTCCCGGCCCGGAAATCCAACCTGAGACGTCTGCGTGGCAATGATAACCGTTAGGCCACGGAGGCAGTTAAATGCACAAAAAATAGATTCAACTGTTTTTACAAAGAATTATAGTGTTTTATGTATAAAAGGAAGAATTCAGGTTGCAATGCAAAAATATGGTCAAAAGTTAAAACTTTATAGGGTGTTCTAAAGCTATAACAAAATATCGGATTTCCTGAGGTAACAACTTCTGGATTGTTAATATAATTTAAACTTTACCCAGTCGCTATGTCGTTGAAAGTTCAAAATCTTTATTGCAAGTTACGACGTTTTGAAGTTATTGAAATTTTATTCAACGTGCTGCCATCTTGCGGCCAGTAGCTGGACTTCGACGAACGATTAACATCAGAATCAACTTGATAAACAGAAAATTGATTTTTTTTTAAATATATGGTAATATCTTTGGTGTGGCTATCGTTTTTGCACTCCAAAACAATACAATAAGCCATTTTTCTGCGATTTTAGAGAACTTGCGCGAAAGAACGACTCAACCATACTGTGCAAAGTATGGTACCAAAAATGGCGGACTGCACGCGTCAGACGCTAACGACTTTTACTGTATTTATCATTCTGTGCTTTTTACCATGACTTGTATATAATAGTATAGTATAATTTAAGTGTTTCATACCATTGCACCTGGTTTTATATCATTGTTTTATTACAGCCTTTACCCTTTACTTTATCTGTTGTTTTCCCTCCCTATACTCTTTCTTTATTTCTACAATAAAATTCATATGGAACGAACATTGTACGTAATTACGCGAAGCTCGCGTGACACACTATCAAATAAAGCCTCATTGTAAACGAAAAAGTCAAGTTGTTAATGATATTCGCAACTTTTCTTAGCTGCAAGATGAAGATAGATTGTGGCAGTTGAATTCCTTGAAAAGATTTCGCACAGGGAAAAACGAAGAACCATTTTTGGGTGCGTTAACTTAATTCACCTTAATTAGTTCACTTAGGTGTATTAAGTACACTTTTAGTAAACTTAAATCACCTGGATGCATTAGATAAACATAAAAGTAAACTGTATACACCACGATAACCGCTCACGCGATACATGCAGCCGTAGACGCATACCACACCTAGAGGTGCCGGTGATGATTTTATACCGATTTATCGGATATCGAAGTTATAACAGGTAAAAGAACTAATATTAATTGCTATTTCGGTAACTACTCTAGCAAACCATAATGTTTTTAATGCCTGGGTCTGTCATTTAAAAAAAATAAACAACTTCAAAAATA